GTGAGGAATATTTATTGCCGTACTCCAGTAGCAAAAGACATATAAAAAAAACCATCAATAATACAACAAAAAGTTAAACAATGCAAAAATATATATTGCAAATAGGTGAACAATAGAAAGAAATATACTGTAACTACAATAAGTGGGTGAAGGAGCGACTTCTCCTTAACTGTACACTTGGCAATCTGAACTGGCTGGTTAAGCCTGAGCTCCAATGCCAAAACATAGCCACTGTCCACTATCACCTGTCCGCTTACATATTGAAGGACATTATACAGTCAGGTCCATAAATATTGGGACATCGACACAATTCTAACATTTTTGGCTCTATACACCACCACAATGGATTCGAAATTAAAAAGCTTTAATTTGAGGGTATTTACATCCAAATCAGGTGAACGGTGTAGGAATTACAACAGTTTGCATATGTGCCTCCCACTTGTTAAGGGACCAAAAGTAATGGGACAATTGGCTTCTCAGCTGTTCCATGGCCAGGTGTGTGTTATTCCCTCATTATCCCAATTACAATGAGCAGATAAAAAGTCCAGAGTTCATCTCAAGTGTGCTATTTGCATTTGGAATCTGTTGCTGTCAACTCTCAAGATGAGATCCAAAGAGCTGTCACTATCAGTGAAGCAAGCCATCATTAGGCTGAAAAAACAAAACAAACCCATCAGAGAGATAGAAAAAACATTAGGTGTGGCCAAAACAACTGTTTGGAACATTCTTAAAAAGAAGGAATGCACCAGTGAGCTCAGCAACACCAAAAGACCCAGAAGACCATGGAAAACAACTGTGGTGGATGACCAAAGAATTCTTTCCCTGGTGAAGAAAACACCCTTCACAACAGTTGGCCAGATCAAGAACACTCTCCAGGAGGTAGGTGTATGTGTGTCAAAGTCAACAAGCAAGAGAAGACTGGAGACAAGACTTCACCAGAGTGAATACAGAGGGTTCACCACAAGATGTAAACCATTGGTGAGCCTCAAAAACAGGAAGGCCAGATTAGAGTTTGCCAAACGACATCTAAAAAAGCCTTCACAGTTCTGGAACAACATCCTATGGACAGATGAGACCAAGATCAACTTGTACCAGAGTGATGGGAAGAGAAGAGTATGGAGAAGGAAAGGAACTGCTCATGATCCTAAGCATACCACCTCATCAGTGAAGCATGGTGGTGGTAGTGTCATGGCGTGGGCATGTATGGCTGCCAATGGAACTGGTTCTCTTGTATTTATTGATGATGTGACTGCTGACAAAAGCAGCAGGATGAATTCTGAAGTGTTTCGGGCAATATTATCTGCTCATATTCAGCCAAATGCTTCAGAACTCATTGGACGCCGCTTCACAGTGCAGATGGACAATGACCCAAAGCATACTGCAAAAGCAACCAAAGAGTTTTTTAAGGGAAAGAAGTGGAATGTTATGCAATGGCCAAGTCAATCACCTGACCTGAATCCGATTGAGCATGCATTTCACTTGCTGAAGACAAAACTGAAGGGAAAATGCCCCAAGAACAAGCAGGAAATGAAGACAGTTGCAGTAGAGGCCTGGCAGAGCATCACCAGGGATGAAACCCAGCGTCTGGTGATGTCTATGCGTTCCAGACTTCAGGCTGTAATTGACTGCAAAGGATTTGCAACCAAGTATTAAAAGGTGAAAGTTTGATTTATGATTATTATTCTGTCTCATTACTTTTGGTCCCTTAACAAGTGGGAGGCACATATGCAAACTGTTGTAATTCCTACACCGCTCACCTGATTTGGATGTAAATACCCTCAAATTAAAGCTGACAGTCTGCAGTTAAGGCACATCTTGTTCGTTTCATTTCAAATCCATTGTGGTGGTGTATAGAGCCATAAAATGTTAGAATTGTGTCGATGTCCCCATATTTATGGACCTGACTGTACATAGAGTTTAACTGCTAGGGATAAAGAGGGAGGGAGTGCAAGAGGTGTGCCAAATATTCAGGTCTGGAAAAAAGTCTGAGAGCTGAGGAAAAATATTTAAAGTGGTGACACTTCTTCACACCTAAACAAGAGTAACCAATCTCTGGTGAATGGAATGTTTCTTTTCTCCCTGACAAATCTGTCCAGAGACCCTAACCCAGTGACCTAAAAAACAAAGCACAGAGCCAGAAAAAAAACTGTTCCTACAGAAAAGACAGGCACATTACATTAAGTGGAAGATAAGACCAACTATAACTGCTCTTAAAAAATTCCCTCTCCCCTCCTCCTTCTTAGCCTGCCTACCCTGTATTAAAAATTACAGTCCAGTTATGTGATTCAGCAACCCTAGCTCCCCTGTGTCATAGTGGCTGCTGCAGGGGAGAGGAGGGATAATTGATAAGACATGAGAGCCTAGGAGTGATATCACAACTCAGGGAGTTCATAGACATTATCAAGCACTCTCTTACATGGGGGGGGGCGTAACTGCTGAATGATGCGACCAGAGCAAGTTGGATTAAAAAATGGTAAATAGACATATACTTTTGTACAGGTATGCAAGATAGGTAAGAGAAGGTGGAAGGGAACATTTTTCTGTTTCAATATGTTTATTAACGTTTTGCATCCATAACAAAGAAGTTGGACATTGTTATAGGTATAAGACTGTGTAGTGGTCCCACAACACAGGCTGAGGGTAAAGTCAAAATCAACAGAACAATAAGACACAGATTTTATATGTCACAGGTATCAAAAACGTAAAGCAAAAAGAAGGTTAATTCAGAACATCAAGACAATCAGATTATATTCAGCGCCTACTATTGGGACACTCTATTGCTACATGAAAGTACCCCACTATTACATAGCAACCACTGAATATTAATAGGATAAATACTCAAAATCACAATCTGTGATAATTGCAGGGGTGGTAGGGAACATTTATAGGAACTGTTATATTGGGCCTTTGCTACCACTATAAAGAATTCCAAGAATTCAGCCACATTCTAAAAAAGTGAAGGAACACTATGATATAAGTCCAAGAGAGGTGCATGCTACCTCTTAGACATATTTCTATTATTTATATCTGACAGGTTTGTGGCTCTGCCAGGCATACACTGAGGCACTGGGGGCTGTGAGAGAGCAGAGAAACACACAGAATAGCTATACGTGCTCCTCCCCTCTGCTGCCCATTCACAGAAGCCTTTGTATTTTGAGAATGAGTTCACATAATAAAAAGGCTTCTGTGATTGGACAGGAAGAGAGAAGGGGTGGACATAGTAGCTACAGCATCTCTACTGTTGGAGATGCCAAGACCAAAAGATCCAGTGTCAGGCTTTTGAAATAACAGGGATCGCTGTCTTACAGGACTTCTATAAACCTGTCAATGTAAATAATAAAGATAAGTCTGGGAGATGTCATGCACCTCATTGGACTTAACTCATACTGTGCCTTCACTTTTTACAAAAGAGCTGAATTCCTGGAGTTGTTCAGCTTTAATAACCGTCCCAGTAACACAATCATATCAGAGAGGGGCACAACAGAAGCCTTGCTGACTAATAAAGGCATCTTGCAGTGTCCACTTTATTTGCAAAGCTTAAAACAGTGTCCAAGTTCTTTTTTATGTGTGTGAATTCAATAAGTATAGATGGATAAATAAAAGGACTAAGTTATATATATTTTACAAGTTTTATTTAAAAAAGGAGAAAAAAAATCAAAAGATCACTATTTTCACCATAAAACGGATGTCAAACAAAAGCAAAGTATTGCTATGACCTTCTTCAACCCAAAGCCTATTTATACCTTATACCAGGGGCGGACTGACAACTCATGGGACCCCCGGGCAATACGGGATCATGGGGCCCCTGTGTCCCTGCCCAAACTCGAAAAAGCCTATGAAAAAGGTACCAGGGGCATCTCATTGGGCCCCCTACTGACCCCGGGCCCTCGGGCAGTGCCCGAGTTTCCAAATGGTCAGTCCTCCCCTGCCTTATACCCCTGTAAAAATGAATAGTGGATTCAAATGTCTTTTCACATTTCACTAAGTTCATCCACACAATAAAATATAAACTTTTTTTTTATTTTAGTTTAGATTTTAACTACTTTAGATTATGGCAATCTAAAACAATTCATCTAAGAAACCCACAACAGCTTATTGTGAACCTGGCCCTAGAGGAGAAAAAGCCTGATCTAATGCAATGAGGATTGGACCAGTAGGGGTCAGTCAAACACTTTACGTTTTCTAAGTGAGATCATTTATCTGGTTGCAAATGATTGCATAAGCTGTATTGTTTATGCTAATGTTTATGAACTAGTACTAATAAGCAGTTCACGTGTACTCTACTTCTGTGTAGGAAACATACAGTGTGACCATGTGTATGCATTCCAATCAATGCTAAGCAGGAAACTAAAAACATGATAGAAAACAATTGGAAAACAATACTGTCGGGTGCCATACACTATGCTTTAAACAAAAAAAAAAAAAAATCCCTGTGTAAATTGCTGAAAATTCACAAGAGATAACTTGTTAAAAGGACATTTTAATTTGACTGTCTGATGTAAAAGGGGGAAAACACAGCTGTATAAAGGCTATCCAACCATGAGCTCCAAATGCAGCTCAGTAGGTACCTGAGGGGTGTCCAAGAGCCCTGAATGATAACATGAGATCTTTAAGAAGAATGGGGGGGCATGAGATCAGGATATGTTTCCTACCAGCCTTGATAAGTGCCCTCTCAAACAAAGTGAACGTATCCTTCCCTTCTCCTTACTATACATATCTACTTTGCAATTAAGGTTACCACCTTTTCTGGGATAATTTACTCACCTCGTGGTTCCTTTCCAATTAGTGACATTGGCAACAAGTCCCATTTTTAGTGACCAAACCAGTTAAACACTATAATCAGGGCCGGTGCTAAACTATTTTGTGCCCTAGACAAGACCAGCCACTTGTGCCCCCCCCCCCCCAAAAAAAATAAATAAATAAAAAATTTTAAAAAACAGTAGAAAATATTAAATCAACAAAACATGAAACGGCTAATTTTTTTTTATTTGCAAAATTAAGTGCCATAAGATGCCACCAGCACCAATATTAAAGACAAAATCAGTGTCACGGACGGACTGTATCTGTGGCAGGCAGTGGCAGGGTGACAGTTGCAGTGAGTGGAGGATGATGGATCCACACTCTGACAGATCCCAGGCTGGAATTCCCCAGGCAATGGGGGGAGATAAAACACTGTGACAGCAGGCAGCCCAGCCCACACACATGCAAAGAACACCTGAACTGAGCGATCCCACACAGTGACAGAGCCAATACAACAAACCACCACCAACACTGACATACATCTGCAGGCACTAGAAGAGCAGGTTGTGAGATCATGATGATGTCATCACTTACTGCCACACAGACACAAGACATCAGACATTACTTTCCTCTGCAGGTGTAGCTCTGCTTCCGCTGTTGAATGGGAAGAGAAGGGCAGGAACTCCATAAAGGGACTGAATCTGAGAGGAACACTGGAAGGAGCAGCAGCTAAGCTGCTACACTGGCCCAAGACACCAAGCATCTTCCTCTGTCTTTTCTTCCGCCCCTCCTCTCATCATTCATGATGTGGCAGCATCACACACAGAGTGCCAGCCTGTGCTGCACCCAGGTGCCCCTAAGTGGCAGTGCGCCCTAGGCGGCCGCCTAGTTTGCCTAGTGGGAGCACCAACCCTGACTATAAAAAACAACTACTACTTGCAATTATACCCTTCTTTGTGACATTCAGATGTTAATCCTTGAAGCATCATCTGCATCTCACAGTAAATTGCAATAGGGTACCAAGTAGCCATCTATCGAGGCAGGAAAAGCTCAAATGTTGGTCCAACAGAAACTTATAGGATTGCATAAGCTCGGCCAGGGCAGTGAAAATTGGCACCATGATGGAATCAAAGAGTGGAGGTTTCAGGCAGTTTTGCAAAGTAAGTATTTATCTGGAGAGGGCTGTTAGACTAACATGGTGGAAGGGGGGGAGGAAAAGTCCATCTGGTTTATAATCAAAATGGTCTCTTATATAATTGCATACAAAGACTTCTGCAAATGTGCAGCAGAGGGGAGGGGAGGTCAGAGATGCTGTGTGTAAGAACACAGCGTCTCTTCTCTCAGAGACCCAGAGTGTAGCAATAGTTATCCTTCTAGTTATCCTCCGGGAGCACTATAAAACTGTCAGATTTAAAGTAAAGAGATAAGTCCACGAGGTGGCAGGAACCTTGTTGGACTTAAAGGGTACGTAAACGTAACATTTTGAATTTGTGATACATGCCTGCTGTACCATGAACTTGTATGAAAAAGTATCCTGTTCTCTTTGTATTGCTTCCTTTGTGTGAAATTCCCGGTGTTCCTTCCAGTCCCTCTGCTTGCCTATGAAAAACTGACTATACTAGGCATGAGAGCACAGCATGGTCAGTTCTCTTGTCAATTCAGTGTGCTCTCTTCCAATGATCAGACTTGTCTGGACACGCCCCCTCCCTGCACAGCCATTCACTGAGAAGACCTGTGTGCTGCTGTTTCTTCTGCCCCAGCTCTCTCTTCTCAGCTGCATAAGAAGCATACAGGGTATGTAATCACTTTTGAAAAATGTGTAAAAATGTATAGTGTTTTTTACATGTATACACAAATGTTTTGCCTTTAATTTCTATTTTTAAAACTGAATGGGTTGTTTTACAAGGTGAGAATTTACATATGTGTTAACTCATAGGATCCTTTCACATGGGCATTCCATTCTTTTCATTAGTTCAGTCACGTTTTTTCCGAGAAAAAACGGATCCGCTCACATCAGTTTTTCATCAGTTTACATCTGTTTTTCATCCGTTTTTCATCAGTTTACATCCATTTTTTTACCTCCTTTACCAATGCAAAAATGGACCGTATGTCAGTTTACATGCATTTACATCAGTTTTCTTCTGTTAAAAAAAATGGATGTTAATGGATGTAAACGGATTATCATCTGTTTACATCCACTAGTCCATAGAAATACATGGGTGTACACTGATATGATTGTGTTACTGTGACGGTTTTCAGACAAATGAAAAAGGGACATACGGAATGTCCGTGTGAAAGAACCCATATTGGTTAATTTACTAAAACTGGAGAGTGCAAATCTGATACAGCTGTGCATGGTAGCCAATCAGCTTCTAACTTCAGCTCAGCTGTAAATGCGTTATATATCCAAATACATTTAAATTCATGTTGGCAAAACTCCAAGTAATTATTTAGGTAAAAAACTTACAAATGCCATGCTGCTATGTACTCTTTAGTTTCCATAGATAACAGTGGCCTTATGGAAACTTACACAATTAAATAAAACTCTTGAACCGGCTATAGATGGATCGAAATTTGGCTGCTTCAGCAGAGAGCAGCCAAATTTTGATCCATCTATAGCCATTCCCATTAGTGATAAGTCAGTATAATGATCAGCTTCTCTTGATTGGAAATGATGTAAATTTTTCATTTCAATTTCATTCAATCAATGCATGCAGCACAGATCAGGGTATTCTGAGGAGTGGTGGAGAATCACCACTCATCAAAATACAGTAGAGATAATTCACAGCATTTTTAAAAAAAATGTTGGCATTCACTACAAAAAAAAAAAACGCTACTAAAATACCACATTCCCCTGTGATCTTTTACATTACACTTTTTTTGGTGAATGAGTAGCAGTACCATATACCCCATGCTCATTCACATGGGGGGCAGGATCTAGGGTTAAAAGGGGTCTCTGGATTCCGATAATCCCCCCACCCACAGACCCCCACAACCACCAGCCAGGGTTGTGGGGAAGAAGCCCTTTGTCCCCATCTTCATGGAGAGAAGGTGATTTGAGGTGCCCTCCTGCCCCAAAGCTCCCCCTCATGTTAAGGGCACGTGGCCTGATATGGTTCAGGAGGGGGGCCACTCACTTGTCCCCTGCCTTTCCTGACCTGTCGGGCTGCATGTTCGGATAAGGGTCTGGTATGGATTTTGGGGGGGACCCCACATCATAACCCCGCTGACAGCTGATGACTCATAGGTTGTTAAGGAAGCGGCGGCTGTTCACTCCTTGACAACCATGACAGTTACTGACAATTACCAGTACATACCACATGCCTCGACCACTACTTAATGCATTTAATTATTTCTTTCTTTCTGTGAATTGACCTTAAGGTCCTTGTATGCAGTGTTTACTGATCGTTTTTGCAATTTGCGGTAAATGCCACATACTAGCAATAGTGAAATTACATTTTCATGTGGTCACCTGACTGACATAACACATGTGATAACTTTTAGTGAATTGTCCCCAGTAGTAGTGAGGATTCCTCCATCCCCCTCAATTGTATGGATGGGGGAATCAGTTCAGTTTCTTTTTTTAAACAAGTAGCTGGTTGATCGAAAAAAACTGATCCAAGTATGGCCAGCTTTACACTGCCAGTAACGTAATTTGGGAATGAAGGAGAGTCTGATCAGTCACAGGATACTCTCCCCATTCATATCATCTTATAGTCAGTTAAAGCATTTTTCTCAATGGTGTGTAGTGCTCTTGTGTCTTGGTTAGTGATGGGCTGAACATCTTCCGGTTCAGTTCGTGGTCGAACATTCGAACCAAAAGAATGTTTGATCGTGAACTTCGCACAGATACAATTCACTACGCAGTATCTTACCGCATCTGAGTATGCGGTAAGATACCACATAGCTACAACAATACTGTAAGAGTTATATTATTAAGTCATGCAGTATTTTAGTAGTGTAAAAATTCTTCAATGTTTCAGCTGTCAGTGGGGTTCCCCTCTGACAGCTGAATACAAAAACAATTTCCGGCTTAGCCGGCAATCAAACATCTTTTTAAAAATGGCATGGGGTCCCCCCGCCCATATACTGTATACTAAGAGTCTGGTATGGATCTTGAGGGGAACCCCTCACGCCAAAATGTTTAAAAAATGGCCCAAAATGGTCTAAAATGGAGAAGTCCTGGAGGCGGGCATGGGAGGAGGAGACCAGGGAACTAGAGAGAAGGAGGTCTTGTGAGGAGCGGAGCGTGCGTGCTGGGCGGTACTTGGATATTAGGTCAGTGATGCAGTTCGGGGCAGTATGGTGGACAGCTTTGTACGTCAGCGTTAGGATTTTGAATTTGATCCATTGCGCAATCGGAAGCCAGTGGAGGGATTGGCAGAGGGGGGTGGCGGAGACAGAGCGGTTGGAAAGGTGAATGAGTCTGGAAGCCGTATTCAGGATCGACTGAAGCAGGGATAGCCAGCGGTGAGGCAGGCCAGTGAGGAGGGAGTTGCAGTAGTCGAGTCGTGATATGATGAGGGAGTGGATGAGCTGTTTAGTGGTTTCTGGAGTTAGGAACGTGCGTATTTTGGCGATGTTGCGGAGGTGGAGTCTGCACGAGTTTGTTAAAGATTGGACTTGGGGCTGGAAGGATAAGTTGGAGTCCAGAATGACACCAAGTACTCTGGCTTGCGGGGCGGGTTTGATGGTAGCGTTGTTGGATGTGATAGATAAGTCAATGGGGGGTGGTGTCTGGCTGGGGGGAAGACAAGAAACTCGGTTTTGGAGAGGTTCAGTTTAAGGAAGTGGAGCGACATCCAGTCTGATATGTCACTCAGCAGGTGTGTGATTCGGGCGGAGACCGAAGGGGTGAGGTGGGGGGTTGAGAGATAGATTTGTGTGTCGTCGGCATAGAGGTGGTAATTGAAGCCGTGAGAGTGTATGAGTTGGCCAAGGGAGGAGGTGTAGATGGAGAAGAGAAGGGGCCCGAGGACAGAGCCTTGAGGGACCCCAACAGAGAGGGGGAGTGAGAGGGAGGTGGTGGCATTATAGGTAACGCTGAAAGAGTGTTGTGACAGGTAGGATGAGAGCCAGGAGAGAGCAGAATCTCTGAGGCCGAGGGAGTGTAGTTTTTTTGAGGAGGAGGGGGTGGTCGACTGTGTCGAAGGCCGCAGAGAGGTCAAGGAGTAGGAGCACTGAATAGTGGCCATTAGCTTTGGCGGTTAGCAGGTCGTTGAAGAGTTTGAGTAAGGCAGTTTTGGTGGAGTGTAGGGGACGGAAGCCGGACTGTAGGGGATCGAGGAGGTTGTTGTCGTTGAGGTGAGAGCATAGGCGGGTGTAGACTAGGCGCTCGAGGAGTTTAGATGTAAATGGGAGCAGGGAGATGGGTCTGAGGTTGTTCGGGTCATTGGGGTCCAGGGAGGACTTTTTAAGTATGGGGTGATGTGTGCAGGTTTCAGAGGGGAGGGGAAAGTGCCGGAGGAGAGGGAGAGATTGAAGATGTGGATGAGGGAGTGTAGGATGGAGGGGGAGGAGGTCGTAGGAGTTGTGAGGGGATAGGGTCGAGGGGGCAGGTGGTGAGGCGGGCATCAGAGAGGATCTTGGAGACTTCCTCGA